GTATTCGAGATAGGGTTACAGAGCCGATTCGACGACCGAGCCGCGATCAGGTTGCGCGCGATCGGCATCCCAGAGATCGCCAAAGAGGCTTTCCCGGTGTCAAACGAGACCTGGAGCCTCCGGCCGATGGCGGACGCCGCCGAGAACATCAGTAGGCGCGAAATCGATATTCTGATCGGCATAGACGTTCTTGCTAGAATTAAATGCGGAGAGGAGCGGATCCTCGACGACCGGATGGTCGCGAGTGAAACGATCTTCGGTTGGGTAGTCGCTGGAAGAGACAGTTCGACCGACGGGTGGTCGAGTGGTTAGCGCGTTTGTCACTTCTCGTGCAAACGTGCGTTTCACTTCGTGAAATGCCGCAACGACGCCGCTCGCGCGGAAGGCGGTGTGGGTTCGATCCCTGCTGCCGGAAAAATATGCAGGTACTCGGCCTTGATCCTCCTGGGTACATTTGCTCTATGGATCCGTCCTCGGAAGCAATGTGAATAACAGTACCCGGGACGTCAAACCTTGGCTGTGTGGATCAGCCCGAAAAAGTTTTTTCTGGAAGAGACAGTTCGTCGACCGAGCTCCAACGCTCACAGGTCTTCGTGACAGCAAATCTCTATCAGCCAGGCACGAGACTATCGGATTCTAGAGTCGTGAGCATGTTCGCTCGACCGACGAACGGAAGGGAGAGTTCTGACCCGTCCAGCGGGGTGGAGTTCAGCTCCGAAGCAGACCCGAACCAACAGCTGAGAACGGATCTGGAGAAGTTATGGTCATGAGAACTCCTCGGGATTGAAGTACCTACGGTAGAATCGATTAGCACAGCAGAAGCGAATCTGCAGAATTTCTTCAGGAATGGCATTCAGAGGTTGGAGAACGGTCGCTATATGGTCAGTCTCCCATTCAAAGAGAACATTCGGTTCCTTGGAGACAACGAAAACGTGGCGCGCGGTAGTCTCAAGCGGTTCCTCGTGAAAAATCGGAATAAGCAAGAACTCATAGCCGCAGTCGATCGGGAGATGAAAAGTTACCTCGAACGTGGATACGCGGAACCAGCAACACCGAAAAAGCCGGGCGAACTAGTTCATTATTTACCGATATTACCAGTCGTCAAGCAGAGTCCAGCTCGGGATGTATTCAAGGTGCGAGTAGTAAAAGATGCTGGAGCCAGACGAAAAGATGAGGCAGCCTTAAACGACGTTCTCCATTGCGGCGCGAATTTGCTGCCAGACGTGATTAAGGTCCTCTTGCGATTTCGGCGAGACGAAATCGCTATCGTATGTGACATCGAGAAGGCCTTTCTCCAGTATCGGATCCATCCGGATCACAGAACGTTCCTTCGATACTTCTGGCCGCAAGGGTTAAGTGAGAACCCGCAGGCTCCGGTTAGGGAATTTTGGAGCACAGTTCTCGATTTCGGGATTGTCTCAAGCCCGTTCATCCATTGCGCGGGAATCAAGTTCCATATCCGACATCTCATGGAGGAGCACCCGAGCAAAGCAGAATCTCTGAAGGACGTGGACGAGAACTTCTATATGGACGATATCGTTTTCTCAGAAAAGACAGCAGTCGCGGGTTTCGAGAGTTCGGACTTTTTGTTTTAAGCGTTCCGCGCGGGTGGCTTCAGGCTTCGAAAATGGGCTACCAATAGCTCAGAGCTGGGCGGCAGGATTCGGGACTCGATGAGCGATCCGGACATCCAGGTCGCCTTCGACCAAGTAGACGCAAAGTTCCTCGGCATTGGCTGGAACTTACGAAGTGACGAACTGGCGATATCTCTTTCGTCGGCCCTCGAGACTCTCGAGTCCAGCAGGCCGACGAAACGTTCACCCTTGAAAAGCACGGCACAGATCTTCGACCCACTGGGTTTTATTTCGCCCATCACAATCAGGCCGAAATCACTCTTGCAATCTCTATGGAAGCAGAAAATAGATTGGGACGTAGAGCTGACGGAATCCAACTTAGAGCATTTTGTGGACGTGAAGAACAGTTTCGAACGCGCGCAAAACTTTCGTCTGCCTCGGAATATAAACACAACATCGCGAGACGTCATCGGGAGAGAACTCCATGTGTTCTGCGACTCGAGTATGTCTGCTCTCGGCTGTGTTGTTCACGTGCGGGAAATCTCGAGAAGGGGTGGCGCGAGAGTTTCGTTCGTGGCCTCGAAGGCGAGAGCGGTGCCGCTGAAGAGCGCATATTCGATCCACAAATCGGAACTGATCGGAGCGGTAATAGGAGCGCGCATGGGAGATAAAATAAAACGCTATCTCAATTATCATTTCGATTCCACGTGTTTTTGGTGCGATAATTCACCCACACTACACTGGATAAAAGACTCGCCAGAGCGCTGGAAGGTCTTCGTTGGAAATAGGATCCGGGAGATTCAATCGCTCACAGACTGCGCGGATTGGGACTACGTTAAGTCAGCCGAAAATCCAGCAGATCTGTTGAGTCGTGGAATTAATATAGCCGATGCGGAATTCAGTTCGATGTGGACTTCAGGACCTCCATGGTTGACGACTCCAGGTCGTCCGACGGAGAAACACTCGCTGAACGTTCACTTTGCGAACGAGATTGAGAAAGAGAGGAAGACGAGGGTTCTTCTCGCAGGAGTCGAGCTGAATCCCGGGTTCCTATCGCTTGGCTCCCGATTGTCATCTTGGAGCACATTGGTTAATAGCATTGCAAGGATTCTTAGATGGTCAGCGAATCGGCGCTCTCCAGCGACGAAGATTGCTCTCGCTGATCCAGTCAGCACGCAGGAGTCGCTCCAGGCGACCGAGAGAATACTGGCGAATGTTCAGAGAGCCCACTTCGGGGATGAATTAGCATCCAGTTTCTAAGACATCGCGAAGAACAGCAGGTTATTCAAACTAGCGCCATTCGTCGACGAACTCGGAGTATTGCGATGTCGCTCCAGATTAGAACGCGCCGAGGAATTAAGTTTCGAGGAGAAATTTCCAAGGCTACTCCCGGGCGAGGATGCAGCGGTTAGGCTCCTCGTTTGATTTTTTCACGAAAAAAGATGTCATCACGTCGGAGGTGTCACAGCGACCCTCAGTATTCTTCGGAGAAAATACTATATTTTGTCAGCGCGGCGAGCGGTGAAGAGCGTCCTGAAGGACTGCAAGAGATGCATGCTGCGGAGCGCCCCATTTGGGCGCGACCGTTTAGGCGCGGCTGTTTGGGCGCGGGCCATTTGGGCGCAGAGCCGTTTAGGCGCGAGCACTTTGGGCGCAGAGCCGTTTGGGCGCGAGCCATTTGGGCGCACAATTGTTTGCTCGCGGAAGTCTTGGTTGTCCGGTGAACGGCTTACGGTTTATCACCAATTCTCGTCCCAACCGCTCGGTTCCAGTGAAACGACAGTCTGGATTACGACTAGACGGAAACGCCGGAAATACTTCCCCGTTGGCTTCCGAGAGCGAATCATGAGTTCTGAGTGGATCCATCTGCGTATGAAGATTATCAAACTCTTGGCGAAGAAAAAAAATGCGCTCGATACGAACACGGACGGCGTCGGAGGTGCATCCCATTCTTTGACTTAGGTCTTCGAATTCTCCGCTCATACCATACTATTCGGGATGAGCGAGTTTTTAGGCTTATCTATACGTATTGACATTTGGACGCGCGAGGCCTAGACGTGTCACGTTACTCTGACTCCGGCGATTCAGGGGCAGTCTGCGGTCCGCTGTTCGATGCCTGCATCCTGAAATTCCGTGCCAGCCCACGCAAGTAGTCCACCGTGGTCCTCTGACCGAATTCTCTCACAACTTTGAGAATTCGCTCATCGGCGGAGTCGTACCAAATGGGTCGCGCCCAAACAGCCGCGCCTAAACGGTCGCGCCCAAACAGCCGCGCCCAAATGGGGCGCTCCGTATGCTACATAGATAGGTGCTAGATAGATGCTAGAGGTCACAATCCAAAACCGAAGCGCAGTAAGTTCTGCGCTCAAACGGCTCGCGCCCAAACGGCTCGCGCCCAAGCGGCCCGCGCCCAAATGGCTCGGCGCCCAAACGGCCCTGCGCCCAAACGGTCGCGCCCAAATGGGGTGCACCGGCATGCTGTTTCGCGCAGAAGCAGCGACAGAGCCAGTCCCCCCAATACCGAATTTCAGACTAGAGACGGCGGCACCGTTCACGGTCTGCGGCACAGATTATGCGGGGCCGATCTCCTATAGACATGAGGATGGCACCCTCCGGAAAAGCTACATACTGCTTTTCGTAGGTCCGGCTTCCGGAGCCATCCATCTTGAGCTTGTTCCAGACATGTCGGCGTATGAATTTCTCTTGTCGTTGAAGAAATTTCTCGCCCGATTCAGCAACGTAACGCGAATCATGTCGGACAACGGTCTATCATTCGTCAGGGCAGCTAGGGAATTGAAAATAATCTACGATCATGTGAAATGTCCAGCCGTTCAGCAGCACCTCGTCGATGCGGAAATTACGTGGGAATTCATCACCCCTCACGCGCCCACTCACGGCGCATGGTGGGAAAGTATGGTTCAAACGGTGAAACGTCCGCTAAGGAAAATTCTAGGTCGAGGCGCCCTGCGGTTCAGGGAGTTAGAAACAGTGCTGGTAGAAATTGAATCCTTGGTGAATCAAAGACCTCTCACGGCGGTGCAACTCGATCCGAATGAGATCAGCGCTTTGTCGCCGGCGGATCTACTCCACGGACATAGAGCGAAGCCGCCCCTGCCTGAAATGAAATTCAAACCAGATTCGCGAGAAGCAGCGAACTCGATAGTTTTTTCGAGGCGTTGGAAACACCAGCAATCGGTTATTCGAGCCTTCCAGAAGCGGTTTTCGCAAGAATATATCCAGTATCTAAGAACCGCGCATAGTAGGAATCCGTCAGAGTCGCGCAGCGTACAAGTCGGCGATGTATGCCTCTTGCAGGATCCAAGTCCTTCTAAAGCGCGTTGGCCTCTACTATGTCGAGTGCTGAGTCTTTCGGGCGGGGAGAGAACGGATCGTCGGCAACGATCCTGTCTCATTAAGACGGCTTCAGGCCAAGTCTTTCAGAGACCGGTGCAGTGGCTCTACCCGCTAGAGGTCTAGCTACGAGAGGGTGGAGAGAACGAGCAACGGATAGTACCATTACATATACTATTGAAGATAATATTACATCCCAACATATGATCAGACGAACGGCGAAAGATGACGACTCCTCCCCAGACTCAAATCGTGGGCATCAGTCTGAGTCCCGACGTCCACGCGGAGGTTCGCCAGAGCGGTGACGAGGGGTTGGGCGACGCAGGGATGGCCGTCGTTCGGGGGGAGGGGCGATAGACGTCGGGGCGAGCGGCGCGTCGGCAGTCGGCGGGGCAGGCGGGTGATCAGCGGCTCGGCTTGGCGGGGAGCGTGGGTTCAGCGGTTGGAAAACCGGCGGGCGAGTTGCGGACGAGGCGATGGCGGCCTGGAGGACCTCGCGGCAAGGATCGGTGAAATCCAAGGAGGAAAGGTCTAGGCGGTTAGACCGCGCGACGCTGCGTACACGGTTAAGGAGCTCCTCACAGACCGCAATCGGCAACGGGTCCCGGGTTCCGCGTCGGCGGGCGGCGGCGGCTTCGCAAAAGGGGCGCCGTTCCCCAAACTCATGGCATCCCGTACCTCGCGACATGCTCTGCGGAGCTCATTGTAACGTAGGTTCCGGACTTGTCTTGAAGGAGCGACGGAGTTGACGAACAGGCCATGAGGGCTACGGTGGAAGCTCGACATCACGGCTGGTGGCTTGTGCCTCGGCGGTTCCGGTGAGAATGACCCCGTGGAACGAGGAAGTTTCTAACTCGGCTTGGAATTAAGGAAAGGAGGCAGTCGAACGCTCTCCGAAACGGGTGGAATTCCGTAATGTCCATCCAGTGGCCCGGTTCCAGACCCCGACGCGTCGACTCATGTGTCTGCTCCGCACATTTCGCACTACTAGTTAGTCGGTTAGGATTTCATTTCCGTAGGTAGAGATCCAGTCAATGTTCTCCAGGAAACAAGGTTGACCGGAATTCTCGAATGTCAAATTTCAGCGTCGCGCCCTCCGAACGAGGCGGAAGAGCGAAGAGTTCGACTGTAAGGCATCCGGAGTGTCATCTCGAGGATTCGGCCGGGAGTGTGACGCATATCTAGGTAGAATTATATGCTGCAATAAAGATGAGCCGACGGCTGTCGTGGAGTGGTCATAGAGAGCGCTGAGGTGCGGGGGGAGTCTGACGTGCATCCACCTCTGGAAGCTTCACGGGCCGCAGCGGACACACACACAGTTGAGAACCAACCGTCCATCGAGACGGTCAGACGACCACGACGGCTTAGGCGATTAAACCGAAATTCAGTTTCGTACTTTCCCGAGGCCAAACTGTGGCATCATAACAGCAATGTTTTCAAGTGTCACTCGGTGCTGATTGATGATAATTGAACGCCTAACCATTCGGTGTCCTTGCTCGGGTAGGGTACTGTGAAGTGAATTGAAGACGCAAACTTTGAGCTCTCATCGTTGCAAGAAGAAATTTTGAGCAGGAAGATGGCTCGCTCGAGGATCTGCAGCAGGCGCAGCAAAAGCCTAGGTTAGTTCGAAAATCGAGTGGGACAAAAACAGCAACTTTTTCCCCTAAATTCGATATCTCTGGTTGGGAAAGGCCGAATTCCATGCGGTAGACGTTGCTGTGAATGTCTCCGCAAGCACGTCAAAGAAGAAAGAGGTTATGAGTCGGGTAGCACGTACTCGGTGTCTACCCGGTGGGGTTAGGGGGTCGGGGGGTCCTGAGTGCTGATTTGAGGGTCTGTTCCCCCGGGCATCGTAGCGCCTCCGGAGAAATTCAGAATAACGTTTGTGGCATGGGATTCGGCCTCTTCAAACAAGAGATATCGAATTTAGCGAAAAAGTCGCTGTTCTCGAACGTTCGAAACTCGAATGGGAAACAAACATCAACTTTTTTCCCCAGATTCGATATCTCTGGTTTGAAGAGGCCGAATTTCATGCGGTAGACGTTGTTCTGAATGTCTCCGCAGGCGCTCGCTGACTAACATCCTACAATCACATATCTCTCTGTATAAGTCGTTCCCGTCGACATCATTCGAATACACATTGGCAAATGACAAACAATCGGACTTCAATTCGTCCAGCTGGCCTTGTAGTAGCCGCTGAGTGTCGAGAAGGAACCCGAAAGTATTGTCGAGGTTTGTCAGCCGCTCGAACCTTTCTCTCATTTCTCGCTGAAGCCGGTCGATACTCCGTGCATATCCCTTCTGCAGACATTTGGACCTTGAATCATTATATCACGCGATATACGAGAAAACGATTGAATTTAATCGTCGAAGTATTCTCAAACAAATTGGCTTAGGCTCTTAATGCGATGGTTGTTGCTGAACATCCTCAATGAGCTCTTCGGTTCGATCCGCGATACCTTGATCCGAAGCTGAGCTTCGAGATTCTCATTGGTCAGCCGGCTTCGCCCCTTCGTTTTGACGAAAACCATATGCGAAAATGCCGACTCGCACAAGTATGATGTGGCGAAGGGAACCAGCTTCTTCAGAGCTTTCATCGCGAGGGACTCGTATGGAACCACAGCTGCGGTCCACATCGCGGATGTCCCTTCCTGATGGTGTATCGAGCGTAGGAGATTGTCACAGCTTACTTCGATGAGGCTTTCTTTCTCTGAGGCGCTCAACTTATCTGGCATGCGATGTACATCCACGTAAAAAGGATTCTCGACCCCTGTATCGTCGGTAAGATCTTCGCTCGGGAGATTATCATCGAATTGATCTTGTAGCTGTCGTAGGTGATGTGCCATCAGGCAAACTAACTGAGGATCTCTCCCTTCGAGCGAGAAAACTTCTGAAGTTTCGGGGAAAAATTCGAAATTCCCTCTCTCGATGCTGCCGAGCCAGAGACTTATCTTGCCCTTGAAAGCGTGGAGCCTCTGCTTTGCGGTGATCTGATTCATCGTCGGGGTCTGCAGGGTTGCATTCAAGACGTTAATGTGGGCGAAAATGTCCGATAGGTAAGCGATGTATGCGCCGCATCCGTTCTGATGGAAGAGTTGCCCAAGATAAATTTGTTTCTGCTCGAGAAGGAACAAACGCACTTCTTCACGGAGCGAATACAGTCTCTCAAGCATGTTCCCTCGGGAAAGCCAGCGAGCCTCTGTGTGGAACAGGAGCTGATGATGATCGGCGTCGGTTCCCTCGCACATAAGCTTGAAGAGTCGGGAATTCGTTGCGCGATCTTTTATGAAATTTACCACCTGAACACAGCTGTCCATGACGTTCTTCAGCTCAATGGGCATCGATTTGCATGCCAGGGCTTGGCGATGGATGAAACAATGTGTCCATTCCGCGTTCGGGGCAATAGCTGAGAACTTACGGACGTATCCTGACGTACGCCCCGTCATATTCCTGGCACCATCGGTACAAATTCCGACACATTTATTCCAGTCGAGATCCATGTCTGACGTTGCGGACATGAAGGCCGAGAAGATTTCGTCCGAAGTCGTCCGACCTTCGAGGGCTGCACAGAACAAAAAGTCCTCCATTATGTCATCCTGATCGACGGATCGTATGAAGCAGATTAGTTGAGCGATGTTGCCGCAGTCGGTCGATTCGTCAAGCTGCACCGCGAAAAAAGGCGAGCTCCGAACTCTGCACAGTACTTGGTCTTTCATATCACTGCTGATTTCGAGGATGCGGCGTGAGATTGTCCTCGCGAACCGCGGGATATCTTGCACGATTCGGGCTCCCGAACCACCGAACAACGTACTGACCGTTTCCTGAATGCATGGAAAAATCAGTTGTTCAATGATGTTGAAAGGCTTCCCACATTTGGCCACACGATGAGCTGTCTTGTAGAAGACGAGCGAAATTTCCTACCAGGAAATTCGAGCTCTACCAGGAAAACATCGACCATCTCCGCAGAAGACACCTCGCGTATCTCATGGCAGATCAGGGAACTCTGCTCAATCCAGAAAGTGTCCACAATTTACCGAAACAGGTTTGTTTCCTGAGGAATATTTGGCGACGCCTGAAAGATTGTTTCGCTAATGAAATCTAACAAGAACCCCACCGGATCCGTACAATCCTGTGATTGATTCCACCCGACTCAGAACAATCTCACGAGAGCTCGTTTACCCTTCCGATTCCCCAGCATCTTACAAGACGCCGAGTCAAACGCAACAAGACCGTCATTCAGGTCATCCTTGGAGGCGACATGGCTGACGATCAGAAGGAAGAGAGCGTTCGAACGAAAAACATAAAACAGACGGAAATTCTCGTCGACCTGAGAGAAGCCATCCTCCAAGTAAGTCATCCCTGGACGTTCACCGGCTACTGACTAAAGCAGCCCTCCAGGCCGGCTTTTTATGGAGCTCCGTCGTGATCTCATGTGCACGACTTGCCGACCCTACTCGGCATATTCGATCGACCGAGCTCGTTCCAGAGGGAACGGATACGGCATTCGTTAGCCAGATCCTCATAGGTGAGATGTTTCACATCGTTGCAGATTGCTCGACACTTCACCTCGTTGGATCCGAAAATACAAATCAATTTAACTGCCGATTACTCGATGGAATCTCATTCGAAAGACCATCAAAACTTTGCCCTGAGCACATCCGCCAAACCGAAGCGCGCTAAAGCTCTCCTTGATTTCGAGAGAACCGATAACGATGAGCTCGGTTTCAAGAAGAACGATATAATTGTTGTTGTGAGTCAACGCGACGAGCACTGTTGGGTGAGTTCAAGAAGCAGTGAGATGCGCCTCAATCTCCGATTTTCCGCGAATGCGCTCATTGTCATACCGAGAGGCTGTCCAAGGTAGCCCTTAGCGAACTTAAAATGCGTTCCAGACGGGTGAGCTGAATGGATGTCGAGGTTGGTTTCCAGCCAAGTTCGTGAAGCTGCTCGACGAGCGCTCGAAGCCCTACTCGCTCGCGGGCGATGACACCGTCACGGAAGCGGTGACCGACCTGGCTCGAGGAGTGTGAGTGCTCAAATTGAAAAAATTCTGACACACACACTCAAACCATCCAGGGACATCCGGATATAATTGATTCGTTCTCGTGTGTAGCTTGTGTCCGGCCATGAAGGCTGTCCTAGAGTACGGACTCCGGAGACCATCGTTTGGCCAGCTGTCCATGCACCCCTGGCAATTCATCGAAGAGGTTGCGAGTCGACAAGTCGAGAAGGATCTGAATTCCGTTTACTCTCGACTCGTGCTGTGTAAGACATTCCGCCTAGATGAAGATGGAAAGGTCCTCAGTCCTGAAGAAGTTCTCTTTCGGGTAGGAATCGTCTACGTATTCTAACTACTTCCCTGAATAATCACGGTGGTAGGAGAATTTCCTGTGGAAAAACGGGCAAGGGACCTCTCATGGTAGACGACGAATTTTTCTTCCCAGTCCGTGCAAGCAGTGAACGTGACACACGATGCGGTCAACGCGGCGATGGACGTCAAGCTGCGTACGCTTGTCTGCATCGGTCTTAATGAGCAATTGCTCCACTTGTGGTTCGAGGTGCTCTGCTCCAGGATCGACGTCGTGCAAAAATGGTACCATCCGTGGTCTTTTGTGAATTCTCCTGGCTGGGTGCAAATCAAGTGCGAGCTAAGGTAATGTCGAATGAGTGAGCCATTGATAATTGCAAATGCTGCTTACTGCTACAAAAAGCGTGAGCCTAGACTGATCGAAGTCCCATGTCTTATTTCAGGCTCCTCAATCAATTTTCTTTCAATCTGAGTCCCGATTGGGGACTTCCGTCGAAAGTTGCTCCGTCTCAAGAACCTCTCAGAGAGGGCGTTCGTGATATGCTAGTAGAACATCATCTCTTCTCATGGGACCTCTGAGACGATCTCATGATCGAGCTGATTCATCTATCAATCCTGCGGATTGCTGTTCAATACATGTTCAACAAGTAGTGAACCAACTTTGTTTTAGTCGAAAACTCTGTCGACGAAAATTCGGAAAGTTACGTTCCCACTATTTGAGATGTTGCAACCCTCTCACCTCAGGAATTCGCAGAGAATTCCGTGTCCTGTGAGAAACTGTAAATCTTTGTTGATAAGCTATACACTTCGTCAGCGCAGAGAGATCTACTCTGCGGACTCCTGACGCTGGAGAGCCAGTGCTCTCGTCTCTGACTCATTTATGTCCACCGATTTGTTGACGATTGTTCTTGTGATGTCTGTTGAAATATTTTCCATTAAACAGCACCAGACTGCTCCATAGCGAAATATTCTTGGAACTTTCTTCCTGTTTGTCAGAATTCGATGAAATTCGGGCCTGCGATAGCTCCCCCGATGGTCAACATGCTGGAGAAATTTCATTGCGCTGGGTCGAAAGGAAGCGGAGATTAGGGCGGTTTAGTGCGTTTTCTTGGAAATTGAGGCTCTTTGACGCTGCTTTCTCCTTTGTCAGCGGTTTGGAGCGCTCTCGATCTGTTTGCATATTCGTATTCCTCATGGGGGAAGCATCGATTTTAATGATGGAAAAAGTACCGATTCGATGAAATTTTCGTGAAGTTATGATGGGTTCTTGAAATTGGGTTAATTTCGGGACGTCGATTTTAGAACTTATGGATTTGAGGGTCTGTTCCTCTCGGGCGTCGTAGCGCCTGCGGAGACATTCGGAATAACGTCTATCGCACGAGATTTGGCCTTTCCAAACTAGAGATATCGAGTTCGGCGATAAAGTTGCTGTTTTCGAACTCGAACGCTCGAAATCCAACGGTTTTCAATAAATCTGATGACGACGAAATCACTTGCTATCGACTATCGAGTCATCGAGTAGACCGCTCGTCACTCTGTTTTCCTTTGTGTCGTCGCACCCCGTCTCCCGGACCTAACATAAGCTTGAAGAGGTAGTCTAAATTCTAGCGGCGGCCAAGTGGGGGCCACGCAGCAAAATTGTCGGGGATCCACGGCGAGATTCCCGGAGAGACGGGATCAGAGTGAGCCTTTATGACGGGAAGCAGCATCGTTGGTCACCTAATCGTAAGCATTCGCTTGGTGACTCCACGCAGCACATTCCAAAGCGAGAACACGAAATCACGGCATGTTCATGCACATGGAGTGCTTAGTTATATCGCAGTCTCCGATGGGTCAGGCGAGTAACTCGGAAACCAACGGAGAGACAGCGGGAGAGACTGCTGGAACA